CATATATACATATATATATGTATATATATATGTGTACACACCAACAATATATGTATATATATACATATATATATATATATACATATACATATGTATATGTGTATACGTATGTATATATACCTATACACATACATATACACATACATATACATATACACATATCGATATTTACATACATACAGACATGCATACATCCATACATGAATATAGCGGTATTCTAGTATGATTGCATATTGTTTGACTATGTTTGCATGTTTCTCCCAGACCCGCATGTAGGAGGACATGCCCGACCCACGCCGAGCGAGCGTGGGCCACGGCGCGATCGCGAGAGGGCTCCAGGGCGCGCAGGCCGCGGGTGGCCGAGCCGAGCCCCGGCTCCCTCGAGGCCCCACGGGCGAGGGCCACGGCGGCGGTCTCCCGCGGGGCTCGCCTCCCCCCTCCTCCCCTTTCCCCTCCCCCTCCTCCTGCTCCTCCTCCCTCCTCCTCCTCCATCCCACTCCTCCTCCCCCTCCCCCTCCTCCTCCTCCCCTCTCCCCTCCTCCTCCTCCTCCTCCTCCTCCTCCTCCTCCTCCTCCTCCTTCTCCTCCTCCTCCTCCTCCTCCTCCTCCTCCTCCTCCTCCTCCTCCTCCTCCACCTCCTCCCCCTCCTCCTCCTCCTCCTCCTCCCCCCTCCTCTCCTCCTCCTCCTCCTCCTCCTCCTCCTCCTCCTCCTCCTCCTCCTCCTCCTCCTCCTCCTCCTCCTCCTCCTCCTCCGGGCCCAGGCTGGGCGGCCGAGCCCCGAGTTCGAGGTTCCACGAGGCGGCGCGAGTCGGCCACGAGGCACGCACGAACTTCACCCCTCCGCGTTGCGAGATCTCGTCCAGGTGTGCAGCAGGAACAGCCGATCGTGCGCTAGAACTTGGAAAACGTAGAAGAGGAGGGTCAAGCACATCGCGAAAGGCATGTTCAGAAAGTAGTGAGACGCGGAACCAGCCATAAAACCATGATGTCGGGACGTCCATTTGTCTTAAGAGAATGACCCCAAAGGGTCGCGTAGAGTAGAATGACGAAACAAGAACTGAGAGGGCGCCCGACCCTTGCACATGGATAAGGGCAGCCATCATTGTTCTCGCACGCCCGGCGGCGGTGAGAGGCAAACATTGGCCCAGTCCCTCCCCAGATGCCGTTGATACCTGCCCCCGCCTCCTCCCGTCGCGGAAGATCCAGGGCGGGGAACGGGGGGGTGCATTTTCGGCCCCTGCAGGGGCCCTCGCCGGGCCCCGGGACCCTCAAGAAAAGAGAAGCACAGGAGAGAGGCGCCCGCGCGGACGACGAACGAACGACGACGACGACGACCGCCCGCGCGCGCCCGACGCAAACAGGCTGCCCCCCCCCTTTCCCCCCACCTCTGCGCCAGACCTGGGATTGAAAACAAAACGCGGGGGTGGACAGAACCCCCAACAGTGACACGTCGATTAGTGAATTGTCCGTTTTCGGTTCTCGAGAGGGCGCCGCGGCCGTCATTTCCCAGCCCTGCGCCCGCCAGGTTTGGGCCTCAGGTCGTATTCACTAAACCACGTTTTACTAAAGGGAGGTCTGTCCATCCCCGAAAAACGGTCCCGGGGGAGGGGTCCAGATTTCCAGGTGCCCACGCTGCGATTCGCAAGAGCACGGCGTCGGAGTTCTGGGGAGGCGCGCGCGGCACGAGGAGGTCGCGGGGGGCCCGGTGGCCGGCCCGGTTTCCGGGCCCGAGCTGTTGCCTCCAGGCGGGTGGTAAGCACGAGGGGCCCAGGAGGCACGCGGCGTCAAGTCGGGCACGTCCCTCCACGGGAGGAGTGTCAAAAATAATTTCAAAAATGGCATGGAGGCGATGTCCCGAGGAATTTTGGATTCTTCTTGAGCGCTTTCATTTGACAGCGTCTTAAGATTTCGCCCAGGATCCGCCCGCGGGCGGACGTGCCCGACCCAGGCGCGGCGCCGCGGCCCACGCGGGCGCTAGGCCACCCCTGCAGCGCCCAGGGTGGGAAAAGGGGTAGAGACAAAGAACAAACGAGGCACGAGATCCCGTGAGCCACGGGCGGGAGTCATAGGCGGATCACGGCGCGCCCGCCTCCGAGTCAAAGTGCTGCCATGGGCCCTGGAGGTGGCACGCCGCAGTTCCCAGTTTCGGCACGGGTGCGGTTCTCTGGTTTTCGATCGGATCGCAGATTTCCGCGCCAACTTTGGAGCGGGGTCTGGATCCCGAAGCAGTTTTGCAGTTGTCCATATGAACACTCAGCTTGCACGTCGACTATCCAGGCGCAGAAGAGGGACGCGGGTGGAAGGCTCCTAGTATACTCTTGGAGGGTTTCGGAGGGCCCAGTGGGACTCAGGGGGTCTCGCGGGCCTGTTTCCCTATTTGTCACGCGGACCTTTTCGAGAACTTATGGTATTCGGACGATGCGGATTGATACATGTTCATGCTGCCCTCCTCTGTGCCTCACGGTTTTCTCACTGACAGAAACAACCA